ACAAGGCGGGACTTGAAGGGAGACGAAAGAAAAACAAGAACAGATTGAACGTGCGGGTTTTCCTCGCAATGATGCGGCTGCTGGACGATCGCAAACACCAAGCCCCTACAAAAGCCGGCCTAGCTCATCCCATCGTCGCGAGAAGGGCGGTGGCGCGGCGGTTTTTCATCTGATGCCGAGCAGTCTCCCTAGTCAGTCATGGGAGGGGGGGCGTCACCACCCCTCGATCCCCGTGTCGCTGCTCTCGCAACCTCAGCCGTATAGGTACCGCTTGCTTTGCCTATCTATCCCTTCCACCACTCGCGCACGCACGCACACTTCCTTTCTTTTCTTTTTCAGACGAGAGGTGGGCAGTCCATCCATATCCGACGCTGGCTTCCCATTTCCAGAATGCAGTGCATGTACGAGATTCACACAAGCCTGTTCGTGTTCCGCAGACATAGAGGCACCCGTATGTGCGTGTATTGTCCTACCCTGCATCGCGGCAAGCTAGGCAAGCTTGATCGCCACCAGGGTTTGGGGCTTTTCAGACATCGGTGTCAGATTTGGCAAAATGGCTCAACAAAACAACGGAGCGCGGGGATGTTCCGTCTTCCCTTGCCCTCACCCCGACCGTAGCGTCCAATATCACCCATAATGATTTACCAGTTCGACACAAAGGTGCCAAGAAGCCCAGGGTCCCTGGTGGCCAGCTGTTTTGCATTTTGTGCGGTTGTTGTCGTAATCTAGATTTGGTGATGTTGATGCCGATACTAGCTTTGCTGCATGTGTGTCCAAGCGTCTAGCTGTTAGTATCATCAGTGTAGCCGATGCGAAAACACTATATTCTCTCCTGCTCTTCTTCTTGACTGCTTCTAAATCTTGCATTTGTGCAGCTGTATTGCAGATACAATGCCCTTCACTCATGCTTTCCACATGCCCTTGATTAGTGTGGGCTCCAATCCAGTCATGCCCTACCCTGGTGTCACAGAAGACAAGGCAGAATCCCCAATGCTGGATGCGTTTTGATCTTTTCAACAAGACTACGTCCGACATCCCGCTAATCGTTCGTTCTTGGCCTTTTTATTCGCTTCCAGCTTCCCCGGATAACGATCTTTCCAGTCCAGCATGACCGACTCGGGCTCGCCGGCCAAGGATCACATCCGGACGATTTGGGCATCGTCCAGGGCAAGAGAGGATCAGAGCCACATGGGATCGCCATCGACGCCATATACCCTAGGTGTGTGAGATCTGTCCATTGCCGCAGGCTTTATCTTTCTTGTTTCGCACCTGCCCCGAAGAAACCACTGTCGTTGTCGCCATCGGCAAGACAGGGTCTCAATGGGAGGATTCTCTATTCGGCAAATTAATTTTTAATTGACCCCAACATAGTTAAACATACTCCAAAGGGGATAAAATCATGATGTACTATAATCCAGGGCCAACAAACTGTATCTACTCTCACAATAAGTGGTGTTCGTCACAGGGGAGCAGCCCCAGGCACCCACCCGCACCATGTTGAAAGTGTGGTTGATCAATGCCGCTGGGGCACGAGACATGGTGACACGATGGCGTGGCGGATCGATCTCCTTTCTAACACCCACTAGATAGGGTCGAAAGGCATCTACCTAGATGAGGGGTTTCTCTTCGCTTCTTGACAAAACTGTGGGCGTCGCTCATGCGAAAAGAAAAGAAAAAAAGAGGGTGGGAAGCGAGAGCCAAGAAAGGGCTTGGAAAGGGAAACATCGTTACCAGCCGTGGGAAAGACGGCAGCAGGGTCCCCGACGGCGATCGAGCAAGGAATTGGCGAGCGCATAAGGCGAACCGCCCACTCGGCCGAGGGTCCCTGGGCCTGGAAAGTGATCTGCCGACTCTTTTCCTGGCCCGGAAGAAGGTTCGACGGCATCCAGCCGGACACCATGAACGCCCCCCGGGTGTGGGCGATGGTCAAGGCCCCCAGCTGGCATCTGCACAATTGCGTTTCTCTCGTGTTCCTCCCTTGTTTTTCCCTTTTCCCCTCTTGCAATTACTTTAACCAGGGCAGACAGTCAGCGGTTCGGGCTGGGCGACCGTTTTGAGACGTGAGAAGATGGGACGCAAAAACAGCAGTAGTTTGTTTACCTGCCACCCACGCGAGTCACCCCAACGACTCCGGCTGTGCGAAACATCGGAGGCGGGAGGGCGATGTGCCTACCTTTTATTCGATCGAGCCTCGGAAATGAGTGTCAATCAAATAAAGTGTGGTCCCCGCGCGCCTTTGCTGAGCCGCATCTGTTCTTTGGGGACCTTTTTTGATAAAATGGAGGTCTTGGAACGTCGCAGCTCCCGGCGGCGAAAAAGATAAACATAGCACGCTGGTTGGTTTGCGGACTGGATGTGCAGTCCCCCTCTGCCCCTCCCTCCCATAGGCTGTTTGTGTGCTGCAGCCAGGGGATGCACGGACTCCTCTCACAAGGGTCGCCCTACAGAGGGAGGGTCACAATCAAGAAGAGCTCGATTAACCGAACAAAACCCATCCAGCAGGCCCAGCCTGGGTCGAACCACCAGACCTCCCTCATTGCCCGCGCGCCTGGGCGACAAACAGCAACCGGATTCGCGGCCAGGCTGGAATGGGACGAAAATCAGGATTCCCAAACATGGGCCGTGACCGATCAAGTTTCACAGGACGGCGCATACGAAGAGGGAATGGCTGCCGGCATTCATCGAGGTTTAGCACCGGCGCGAGAGGACAGGGTGGACGCCGGGTGGCGCGCTGTCAACCGAACTTTCCGACAGCCCATGTAGGTGCTACCAACCCCTCTCGGTCCAGGGCCGGGTCTCTCTGTCTCGGCATCTGTGTAGCTGAAATGAAGGACGGCCAAACACTGCACACCTTGGGTGATGTGCAGCCAGGCCGCACCCCAGAAAAAAACACAGAATCGGATGACGATTGGTAGTTGGGATGATATCCGTCCGTGATTTGCGCCCGCCCTGCCCTTGTTGTGGCACCCAGTCATGCCAGTTTCGCTGCCGCTTTGGCGTTTGTTGTTGACGACAAGTCGTGATGGGAGTCGTGATGGAGTCTGAATAATCTTAGGCCGCCCATGTCCCACACACCAGGCTCAGAGCAAAAAAAGAAAGATGCTAGCACGGACGGTAGAATACCACGCCACAGTCCTACTATTTGTAGGGGCAAAGAACGTTGACGTCGGCCACCAACCGGGGTCATTAGGGGGTACAGTGCCCGCATAGTGTATTACAGTGCTTTTGACCCTTTTTTTTTCTCACGCTTTTCCTTCATTTTCCCAATTCTTTTCCGCAAAATACCAGCGAAACTGAACCTGCCCAAAGCACGCAAAAAAAAAAAAGGAATTTAAGCTAATAGGATAAATTAACCGTTGTATTTGCTTTCCCAGCCGGCCAGCGCGTTTAATCCCAATCCTTTTTACATCCTTTGTATTTTGGGTATTTTGCGGAAGGAAAAAGGAAAAGGACGCTAAAGCGCAAAAAAAAAAAAAAGTTGAAAGCACTGTAGTACACTATATGGGCACTGTACCCCGTAATAACCCCCGGTCGGTGGGCCGGCTTTGACATTCTGTACCCCTACAGATGGTACCTACCCCGATGCGCTGCTGCATCGACAGGGCCTAGGCCTCGACACACCAGATCTAAAATCCAAAACCCGCCTCTGCCGGAAGCCGCGCAAAGCCGCGTTGTTGTTTTCCTCTCCCATCGCTTCTGTCATTACGCAAGCGCATTGCATCAGGCCTGAAGAAAGCTCGCTTTACGCATGGTATCTACCCTTAATCGATCGAGCTGCATAATTGGCCCTTCGCCTAGACAGACGGCGGCAAGATAGAGGAGGGGGCGTGGCTCCAGGGTTGCCCGTCATCGTTCCATGTTGTGCTTCTTTTACCACCCCTTGCCTCTCTTACCCAGGTTTACGACCGTGGTAGTTATTCTTGGCGGCTGTTGGCAAGACACCAATCGCGTGTCTTTTTAGACACACCGATACGAGTGATGCATCTAGAGAATCGAGATGGGTAGCTGTCGACTTGATCATCGATAGCGTGACATTTTGTAGCCCTCTCTTTAGCCGGGCAGGAGGTTCATGTAAGGCGACGACACAGCATCAAATCCAGCTTACACAAGCATCCACACACTTTGAAGTGCGAGGTTCCGTGGCATTAGAAAAAGAGTATCACCATGAGCCTGAGACCGAGCTGCTAGCCAAATACTGGTGCCTCGGCAGGCCGTTTGCTACCAAGTGTGCTAAACCCTCGCTTTGGGGCCACTCACCCATCCATTCACCAGCTAATCAGCATGCGTCAGACCCAAGGTGGCATAACCATTTGCGCCGCTGACGGCCCTAGCACCCTGCTCATTTCCAGCACCCGGCCGGTCTCTCGGGCTCTCGTCCATCACCGAAACCCCCGGACTTCCTTGCAAGACTGTCACATCCTACCCGAAGCCGGGCGGCACGACCGAGCGAAGGCGTTTGACTGGATATGAAGGGATCGTGTGCAAGCAGAAAAAAGACACGAGGATGGGGCCCTTTGACGTGATGGAATGAAGATCTCACGAGCCGTGGCGCGCCAGCTCCCACATCCGGGGGTACCGGAACACCCCAGCCGGCTCGGCTGGCAGCCGATCAGATCAGGGGATCGGTAAGCGCCCTGGTGGCCCCCAATCCCCATGCGGAGAAGTCGTGATCTTCAGTGCCGAGACTACCCCAGAAAGACGCGGTACCAGCTTCCAGTCGGTGATTTCCCGGGAGGGCGTACGCCGGCTGTCCTGTAATCTCTCATGGGGAACCGGCCTTGGGTCCTCCCCACTCCCGCGGACGCCGATGCGGATGTGCCCGAGGCAGCCAGTGGAGGACTGCTTTGGCCCGCAGCACTTCCATCGGGCGCGGGGCGTGTGTTGATCGACTGATCGAAGTCGTGATTTCCTGTGTCTATAAGGCAATACAGTTAGTTCCTGTGCAATTGGTCCGATTAAGGGTGATGGCCCCCCGGACCGGGGGTCGGGTTAATCTCGCTGCTCCGAAGCCGACGTTGACTATCGATCCGAGATATCCCCTATCCTTCGGTATGTGGCCTTGCTTTAGCACAGGCCGGGATATATATAGCATGTATAAAAACTCCGGGCGGCAACCAGAAGTGCAATATCAAATGAGTGTTATTCTAAATCTCTCGCGTAAATGGCGTTAAACCTGAACCATATTGTTTTTACCTTCGTTTGTTTCCTTTCGCCGACGATTCGTTCATATGCTGTATCTCAAGCACAGAAACCCATATAGATCGTGATGCATGTCGACCTGTCTGGAATTTTGACAATGCCATGCAGTCTTGATTGAACTGCCTTGGAATAGTCGACACGGGACCTCCGTGCGACATGCATGCTAGAGACGCAGCCACGACCAGGGACTGCGATACAATGGGAATACCTGCGGGTACTTCGGTGAGCTGCCCTTGGCCAAGTGGCTCCCCATGGGGAAACAAACCCTCGATTAGCTGCCAAAGACCCTGATCCCCCCAGCCCAGCTGTCCTTTGCCCGCCTTGTGGGGCAAACCATACCGCTCCAGCTCTGGGTCGGGTTGACAACTGCATGTGCTGCGAGGTACTGCCTGGCACCCCAGGACGCAAAGTCGTTGCTTGTCTCCTAGCTTCGTTTGAGGATGCCCTGCCAGAAAACCGCTTTCATGTAGTTCGCTGTGCTAGCCTCGAGCCAGAGACGCCAGTCGAGACGGCGGCGCAGGGCTGTGGCATTTCGTCGTAGAACTTGACACGTGGGTGCCAGCTGCGCAATCTCCTTGGGCTCTGCTTTCTTTGTGATTCTCCTCGTCGGAGCATGGGTATCAATTCCAAGTACACCGCTCTACGTCACAACCAGCCATCCCACACACACACCCAATAGCTGGTACCTAGCAGAGCGGGATGCTAATGCAGCAAAAAAAAAACTCTTCACTTGCGCATGGGAGCTGAGGCTCCAATCCCAGCCGTTGGCCACCTTTGCGTCCTTCCTCTTTGGAGGGACGGGAAACAAGCTTCTCACTCAATCAAGCCGCGGCTGGCGTAGCTGCGGCACCTGAGTGACTGTGATACTGGGGGCCGGCTGATTGGCCGGAATTCGCACCATTTTGTTGGCTCTCATGTCCGGGCCATCGCAACGCGCCGAATCACAAAGGCGCGTGCCCTCGAGCGTGACAGTGTTCAGTCCGGGGACTTGTCTCGCGGGACATTGGGTATCTATGCCTGGCTGAACGTAGCATCAGGTTTGCTGTACCTAGTAGACTGGAGAAAAGAGAACACGGTTGTACAAAGCGATGCCAGTTGGTGCTTTTACCCTCTGTTTCGGACAAAGAATGCGCTTGTGTGTTTTTTTTTTTGACGTGAGGGGTTAGGACCTTTAGCTCCAGGCGTCGGACAAGCATGGCATGGGCCAGCACAAACGCCATTGGATCGACTCCTCCCTGCCTACTGCAGGCCTGGAATCTGCTCGTGCATGGGACGGGCGTCCAAAGGCACCCAGGTAGAAGGTGGGGAAACGAGGTATTCGGCGGTATGCAGAGGCATTTGCATTTGCTCACGAGAAGGGGAGAGCCAGCCGGACACACCCAGCACTTATTTCACGCTCGCGGCCGCCGAGGTACCCCAAAGTCGTTGGAGATCTGCCGCCTGGCTAAGCCAGCACCGTGTAGCTTCACCGCCCCACCCCACCCAGCTCTTGTTTATTTGGCCTGCTGTTGCACCCGCCCGTCGCGGCGCCTTTATGAGGCGACCTTTCTGGTCCGCGCCCGAGCTCTCTCTCTGCCCTTTGGTCAGCAGCATCTCGCCCGCCTCTGCACTCGGGGTAGCCGTCTGCGTCAGCGGCCGCCCTGCCCAGGCAGACGCGGCGCGGGAAACGGGCGCGCACAGTGTGACGTCTAGGTTTTCTCTTGTCATCCTTTCAATGATGTGGGTCCGCTAGGCTAGCGGCATTTCACGCACGGCCCTATCTTGCGTCTTTGCCCCCCACTTAAACAGGCTAACCGCAGTTGTACAGGCCCGCCCCACCCGCGAAAAAATCAAACACTGTGGAAGCTTCGCCCACGCGCGGGTGGGTAGTGGGATCTCCTAGCCACCCCGTCCGCGACATCCCTGAAGGTTTTGCACCCTCCCTCCAAGTCCATCTATCCAGCCCAGTGGTCTCTCGCCATTTTTTGCCAGTCGTGGGCTGGAAGTACCTTCTTTTCCCCCGTCGAGTGACTGACACTCCGCCACGGCCAGCAGCATTCACCAGAGGTGGTAGTGACAAGCAGCAATCCTCAACAGCGCCTAGCCTACATGCCGATTTGCCTATAGCTATTGGAGCTCCGACGAACAAATAGTAAGTTACCTCCGGCTTCCATCACACCTTTGTTCTTTTCGATTCCTTCATTCCATACTTCCCGCCGCAAGTGTCGATCGAAATGGCGTCGCTGTCCCGGCCCTTTTGAGGCTGGTGGTGTTGGTTGTTTGGTGAGTGTGAGCCGTCTCCTCCCACCATGATGAGAGATCGAGTCACACACACCAACACCGCCCCCCAAGCAAACCACTGGGCCGTTACCGCTACGTTGTTTCACCAACACTGTGTTTTTTTGGGGGGGTTTTTTTTCATTGTCACTTTGTCCCCGATACTTGTGACTTGTGCCCCTCGACCGCATATCCGTCATCTTTCATCTTTACTTCCCCATGGTTTTTGTCTTTTTTTTCTTTCTGCCATCTCTCTTCCCAAGCTGTCTCCTCATTTGCGAAACCCCCGCTCCGCCATTGGTTGCGCATCGCCCCGCGGACATAATTTGCACTGTGGTACCACTCTTGATTGGTGCACTCAGTCGATACCAGGCAGTACTTTCAGCACCCCCCAGGTCACCAAGTCGGCCTGGCGAGACGCCAGGTGCGATGGAGACACACCAAGGTACCCCAGCATCCGCCGAGCACGCAAGCCGACAAGCGAGAAAGCTATGGGCGCATTACACGCACTGCGAACGAAACACCCCAGACGCGAGCGCCAGCTTCTTTCCCCTCAGCAGCTCATTGATACCTCTTGTCCGTTTCTTACAGGCGGCGCATCTAGTCTGTCGTGGAATTTGCAATCGAGCGACACGCAGAACGCAGGCGGCCGTTGTTGGACGACGCGGCGGCTAATGCTTTGCTAGGAACCCAGCCGACGCGTCACTTTCCTGGCACTTCCAAGGTCACCTCCCCCCTCCCGCTCTTGAGCCATGCAGCAGTGGGAGGTCGGGCCAGTCCCGGCGTACCTCTACAGCTCGGGCGGGGGCTCCACCAGCCACCAAAATGACAGAATGTGAGTACCGCGTCTGCTCTGTACCATCCCCCATTGGGCCCCGCGTGTGCGTGGTACAGTGCCAGCATCCCGTCCAACCCAGGCCAGCCCAGGCCAGCCCGCCCCCCAGCTCCCGCCTCCATGGTCTCTGGCCTGTACCTCTCCGCCGCTACCTCCACATCTACCTCGCTCTACCTCGCTCGCGGCAACCTCTTCCTTCCCACCTCTATTTGTACCCTATGTACTCCAATTCAACTCGAGCATCCCATCCCGTTCCCCCTTGTCCCCCGGCGACGCCCTCTTCGCAAACTGTGGAGTTCCACCAGACAAACAGGCGCGACAAACGAGCCGGGACAGCACGACGCCAGAGAAAAAGGGAGAATAAAAAAAAGAAAAGAAAAAACAAAGTCCATTGAGCGATCGCAATCCCGACTCGCGCACGCACACACCCACCCCCGCTGTCGTGGTCGTCGTCGGTGTGCGCGCAGCAGAGCAGAACACCAAGAGTCGTCTCTGACGCGCCCGCCCGCTGCCCGCCTTCCCGCCCTTGGTCACTTGGTCACTCTGTGTTCTTGTTTGTCCCCTCGGTTGTTTCGCGCGCTCGCACGCGCTCGCAAACGGGCCAGTGCTTGCTGCTAGCAATCCGACCTCGTCCCGACACGGCGGCCCAGCTCCAGAGTACCCTCCTAGCACACACCTAGCTCCTCGTCCATTTTTCCTGCCATTCCTCGCCGTTGACTCTTGTCACCTGTCATCGCCCGCCGCCGTTTCGCCTGCGACCCCGTTACGACTTCGTCCCCGGCGCTTCGTCCACCCCTCCACCCTCCATTCGTCCCGACCCTCCCCGTGTTGCCGAACACCCTCCCCGCTTTTCAATGAAGAAGAAGGCGAGAGTCGATGTTGTGCAGCAGCAGCAGCAGCCGCCGCCGCCATCATGGCCGCCGCAACCTCAACAACAGCCGATGCCGCCGATGCCATCGACGATTCAGCCGATGCAGGCACACAACCAGTCTCCCTTCACTAACACCCCGTGGTATAGCCCGCAAACCACATATGTCCAGCCGGACATGTCGCGTCGCGATGACACCATGGGCTACCGCTACACTCCCCAGCAGCAGCAACAGCAGCAGCACCATGCCGCCCCCGTCCAGCAGCCATCCATGAACGTCGCCCAGCAGCAGCACGTTCAGCAGGGGCAGCACCCGGGGCAGCACGCGACCCAGCAGCATGCGCAAATCCACCAGCAGCAACACCAGCATCAGCAACAGCAGCAGCAACAACAACAACAGCAGCACCAGCACCAGCCGGCTGCACATGGCCAGCAGCACAATGCTACCCAGCCGGCGCAACCGCAACAGGGGCAGCAGCCACAGCCCCAGCAACCCCAGCAGCAACAGGCCACCCCGGTCCCGGCCCCTGCGCCGACCCCGCGCCAGCGCAAGCGCCCGGCCCCTACTTCAACACCACAGTCGGTCCCGGCCGCGCCCCCTCCCGCGCCCGCCGCCGTCATGCCTACGGCCGTCACCGCGACCCCAGCCACGCCCACGGCGGCCCCCACGGCAATTACCGCCCCAGTCCCTACCCCAACGCCGGTGCCGGTACCCGCCAAGACGGAGCCAAATGACGATGCAAACTCAACCCCTCAGCCGCCCCCGGCCAAGAAGGGCCGCACAAACACTCCCTGGACGGCCCAGGAGGAGCTGCGCCTAAAGCAGATGCGCGACGCCGGCAATAGCTGGGCCGAGATCGCTAAGGTTCGTACATTGGCTGGGAAGGAGATGCTAAGATGCGCCACGGACGCCTCAGCATGCCGCAAATCATGATGCCGGCGTGACGGCGCATCTCTTGTCATGGCTGAGTCGTGATGCACGGACGGACTCCGCTGACGTATTTTGTTCTGCCTGCGCAGACCTTCCCGACCCGAACGGAGGGTAGTGTGAAAAAGCATTGGTACAAGGTTCGTTCCCTGTCCGAACGTGCGACCATAGCCTCGCAAGGCTTCGGCAGGCTGACCCGGACCAAACTCCTTTTAGGACATGCACTATGCCGAATTTGCCGAGAATGAGGTACGACCCCCATGCGTCCCATCAGCTTCATCCAGGAACCCCTCTTTCCCGCCATCATCCAGAAGTTGCATGGGTTCGCGCAGATGTCGTCCCGCAACCACCTATTGGTGCTAACACTGTCTGCCCTGGTATAGAGCCAGGAGCTTCTGCATGCAATCAAAGAGTATGAGGCCAGCAAATGGAAGGTTATCGGGAACAAGGTTGGGAAACCGGCCAAGGTCAGTCATCGCTAATGTCGGCGCGGTCTCAGAATGTCGATGATGACAGTCACTAACAATGGTATCTGCACAGGCTTGCGAACAATATGCCAAGGAGCACTTCCCCGGTATGACACCTTCTGTCGGCTCCTTATGGCCTCTGCTGCTACACATGCGTGTTGTGCGTCTTGGCTCTGCTCTCGATATACTGACCTGCTGCTTTTTCTGGCGCATGCAGACCTTTTCCAGAATGGCCCAAAGGCGAGATAGACCTCGCGCGACACACTAGCTATGCACCAGTATGGACCATGTCCCAACTAGATACGACTCAACGTATATCTCGCGATACGACCTCACCAAAATTTCCGGGCATCGCACATGCGCTTTTGCCTCATTGTTCAGTGCTTCTATTTCTTCCTATCAGCACATTATTCCCCAGAACTCTTGACTCGTTTTGCCTTTGTCGGTCAAGTGTACTTGTTTGCTCCTCCTTCTCTTAGTCCTCTCGTTGGCGCGGCGTCGGTTCGATTCCCCTCCCCTGCGCATTTCTGGCTCCTTTGGCAGAATCGCGGGTTATGATATGGCGGCCTTGTTGGTCTTGGGTGGGAAAAGGGAACAAAAAATTCTGTCACCACGCAAAAAACAGCAAACTCGTTATGCGACTTATTTCTTGTTACCTTGTGCTAGGGGGCAGTGGCCAAGGCATTCTTACTGCCCCGATTCCTAATTGCCATGGCTTTGGTTTCTCATGGTTTGGGCTTTTGGTTGTTATATTCTTATTCCACTCCTTCTGATCATTTTACTCGTTTGCCTCCGACTTTGTTTGTCAGGCAAATGTTTCCATTTGTCTTTTACAGCCATCCGCTGTGCTTTTGGTTTATTTTTTGGGACCTGTTAACGGGCTGGATGGCAGGTTGGAGGCGGAATAGTTTTGGCGGCTATGGCGTGCTACGAACTACGTCATCATGGGAAGGCTGGGATGTGTTCAGGGTCTGGCTGGGTCTCGCTATGATTGGATGAGGGGGTGGGTTTGCCAGCAGTCCCTGACGGGGAGGCTCGCGGTTTTCGGTTATAGGGAGGCCAGAGAGACAGTGCAAGACGGCGGACGGGCGAAATGGTCAATCTCCTTTGGTTACCAACAATTAGAGCAGGAAGCTGGGGTGTATCACGATGCACACCCCAACTCCCGTTGTCGTTTTCTTTTGATGCTGGTGGCGTTGCATGCATGATCTCAAGCCTTGTGGAGAACTATAGCGACTATCGGATGCTTGTTGAAATGTTTTCGCTCAATTCGATCATTTATGCCATTGCATCATAGGGTCGCACAGCAAGATGGCAGAACACTTCAGGGGGCTAGGTTGTGTGCTCGTGTTTCCCATGGCTGCGTTGGCTGCTTTCTGCAGGAGTGGCGCCAACAGACAGGACGGGATGCAGACCCGATGGCTGGGACAACAGCGCACGCACGTTTCGCTGACATGAACTCGCCCGATCGCAACTTCACGTGCCATTTGGGACGATGAGCCATGTCACGCGAGACAAGGATGGGGTGATGGGATACGAGTCGCTCGCCCAACGCCTACCAGGGCAGGGGGCGGCAGGGCCATGGAACAAACGCAATCTCGTATGGGCAAACCCACAAACAGAAATCGCTCGACTGAATTCGTGGGCCCTCATTGGCTGTGAATCTTTTTTTGGGCGCCCGGGCGCTCAGGTGGCCCGCCGATCATCTCTGATATCGGGATGGAGAGGCAAAAAAACTGGGAAAGGGTCGTCGAGATGCATACTTCTTAGTTACAAGTCCCTACCGACCTGTGTGGATGACCGTTTGCGAGATGTAGATATCGCAGCCATCGACCGGGTTCCACGACATGGAATAACGGTTGGGGGCGCTAGTGGCACAGGGTGTCTTCGTGGCTGTCCGGTATGGAAGACAGATAGTCAGCGGATTGATTCTATCTTGTGTCTGCAGCCCCCGCCTCTTGGGGCGGAGATCACATTTCGGTGACGCGCAGAAGACGTTTGGAATAAAAAAAAAAAAGAGGATAGGCACTGAGGAAAAGCAAACAAACAGAACAAAACCAAAATCTCTGGTGGCTTGCATATCGGGGGAATAAATTCGATTAGGGTGCAGATTCTGCAAGCCGAGCGGACGTCACTGTGCTGGCAGCCATTGCGAAAGCCAATATGGGGACAGCACAGCCCATCGCTAACCCCTTCCCTCATGGTGGTGCCTGGGGGCGGCGGCGGGCGGCCGAGCCAGACCCCAATCGAGCGCTGACGCCCCCTGCACCCACCGCTAGGCCCGTGGGATCAATTCAATCAAGCCATGAAAGGAATGGTCTGGTGGAGGGTGTGCCAGGAGCCGGATTTTCCAGCCCGCGGCTCCTCCTCCCTGCCAAGGCCCCCTTTTCCTGTCTTTACTTCTCTCCTCTCTTTTCGTGCCCGTCGCTCCATGGATCCCCTCTTCTCTCTCTGCATCACACGTCCACTCGTGAGACTCGAGGAGGTCAGACTGACCAGAGATACGTCAACACTAATGGTTTAATTAATACTTTGCCAACTCGCCTTACACTCGCTCAACCCACACTCGCTTTTACCTATTTTTATTTTTTTTGCAATCGCCTTCTCCCGTTTATTCGTCTACAACGCGATCCACAAACGAAAGGAAGCCATTGCCCAAACTCGCTCGACAAGTGATCCGAAAGCCGTCGATATCCCACCCCAGAGATCACCACCGAAGCCTTAACTGGTCTTTGGAAAAATAGATAGAGCGCTGTTGACTGCCGGCCATCGCTCCTGTTTCGTTTCACCCGCGGACCGACCGAACCCAGCACGACCGACGTGTTTCCCATCCTTCCTTAGCCGTGTTTTGCCTCGGGTATTACACGGCTCCTACTTGCCGGCTGCCGTCGTCGCCCGGCTTTAACTGCAACAAAGGAACTTGGCCTGGCCAGCCTTGGCTGCCTTCTTCACTCGCTCGTCGTTTCCTACTTTGAAGGGAGGACCATAAGAGGGGAGAAACCGGCCCAACACTAGCGATCAAGCAAGGCCGAAGCCAGAAAATAGCCGGGTCGATTCACACCGTTACGCGGCCGACACTCAACGGCCATCGCCCTTTGCGCGACAGCCAACATCGACAACATCGATTTCAATCCCACCACTCCAACATGAAATCCACGATATTCTCGCTCGGCGCTACCGCCTTGGTGTGCGCGTCGACGGTGCTCGGCGCGGACCTCAAGTGCTCGCTGACCAAGAAGTGCCCCAAGGAGGCCCCTTGCTGTGGACGTGAGTCGCTCCCCTCCTCCCGACCCGCAAGTCAATCTTGATTTCCCCCCCCCCCAGGCCTCCCCACAAGCCTTGTTTTCAATTACTGCCGTGGGTCCTGCCCATGGCGATGGCCAATCGACTGGCTTTTAAGGTTAAGTCGCTTTGATTGTCTTGGCTGTTTGGCGGTGGCAAGAGAAAACAAAAATTAGGGGTGCACGTCGGCAAGATGCCCGGCAAGCGTTGGTCGCACCGCAGCATCGTTGTGTCGCTGCAGGCGCAACGTCGGTGCACTGCAGACGCACAGGAGCACATGAGAGGGGATGGCAGGATACAGTCAAACAGACGACAGGTCACGTAATGGAAAGCTGACAAGGTCTCGACGACAGTCTACGGCGACTGCGGCACTGGGGCCTTCTGCCTCGGCGGCTGCGACCCGCGCATGTCCTTCTCGCTCGAGTCGTGCATGCCGGCGCCGACGTGCAAGAGCCAAAAGTACTCGTTCAACAACCTCGACAAAGTGGCCGATATCTCAAAGTACCTGGGCGACCCCAAGAAGTCGGACTGGGTCGCCCAGGGCGAGCCGCTCGTGTCGGACGGCGCCCTGCTGCTGACGATGCCGCCGCGCTCCGTCGGCACCGTCTTGTCGTCGACGGCCTACATGTGGTACGGCAGCGTCAAGGCGAAGATCAAGACCTCGCGCGGCGCCGGCGTCGTCACGGGCTTCATCCTGTTCAGCGACGTCAAGGACGAGATCGACTACGAGTGGGTCGGCACCGAGCTGGAGGTTGCGCAGACCAACTACTACTTCCAAGGCATCCCCAACTGTAAGTTTGACGGCCAGGTTGTTGACACTTTTAAAAAGCCATCACTAACAAGGAAAACCCCACCCACCCTCAGACGACAACTCAAAGAACATCTCCCTCTCCAACACCTATGACAACTGGCACACGTACGAGATCCAGTGGACCCCCGACGAGATCACCTGGCTCGTCGACGGCCAAAAGGGCCGCACCAAGAAGCGGTCCGAGACGTGGAACGCCACGGCCAACCAGTGGAACTTCCCCCAGACCCCGTCGCGCGTGCAGCTCTCGCTCTGGCCCGGCGGCGCCGAGACGAACCCCAAGGGCACCGTCGACTGGGCCGGCGGCAAGATTGACTGGAACAACCACGAGGACATCAAGAAGCACGGCTTCTACTACGCCATGGTCGAGTCGGTCGAGGTCAGCTGCATGAACAGCCCCAACGCGCCCGGGACTAGCAAGGGCTCGGGGTACTGGTACACCGACTACAGGGGCACCAACGACACGGTCCGCGACGGCGACAAGCGCACCACCCTCAAGTCCCTCGCCGGCTCCGGCATCGACATGGACGCCGGCGGCTCCGACGCCTCGTCGTCCACGTCCGGCGGCTCCGCCTCCTCCCCTGCCCAGACGGGCGCCTCGGCACCCGCGCCCCAGGTCCCCGGAGGTAGCCTCGTCGGCCCCGGCGCCGACGGCCGCGTCGGCAGCGACGGCAGCGCCCCCGCGCCGCCCGCCGCCGACTGCAACTCAAAGACGTTTGTGCAGACGTGCGGCCAGCAGCCGAAGAGCCTCGCCGCCCGCGCCGCCCCGTCGTCCCTGGCCGGCGGCGCCCTGGCCGTCGTGGCTGCCCTGGTCGCCGTCGCTGCGCTATGAGGGCGGGGGGACTGGTTCATAGCTGGATGACCTGGTGTGGTGATGGAGTTTCTTGTGTCCCTTTATATATAATGTTGGTTTTGCGTCATCTTCCGTCGATGGTTTCTGCTTTCAGTAATGAACGACCTGGGAACACCTAATTACGGCTGGCGTCTATGGCGCTTCAATAACTCACTGACGAATGTTCAAATGGTATTCTTTTTCCGCTTTGTATTCTCAGTGCGATTGACGTTTAGCCCATGACCTTTCACTCAATACTTGGGGTTTGTGTGAATGTACGTACTAAATAATGCTGATGATTAGACTTGCTCTGACCTTCCTTGGACGTTCCGCCTTATGCTCCTGGTAGTTTAAGGGACGGTCACGACCTACAAAGGCAGGGTGCCCTTTGAACCAGTGGGATCACTGCCGCCCATAGTATGGTGAGTCGCTGTACTCGACCATGACATCCGGAAGACGCAACGGCGAAAACGTATGAGCCTGTGCTCAGGGACGCTGATAGCACCTAAACAAAAGGCAAGCCGCCGCCGCAAAAGCCATCATGATCTCCAGAGCCCACTGCCGTCGTCATCACAACCAGGGACTCACCTAGCCAAACCGCCGACATTCCCGAATCGGGACAGGAATCACCTCGAGCAACAGATGCACCGCATGCCCCGCGGGCTCCAACAAGGGCCAACCAACCTGACCGGGCTCGTTGCCGCCGCGGACCCCCTCCCCCCGGATGAGACTATCACGTACCATTCTAGCTCTTCGGGTCATCCACAAGGTCCCCACAAGCGCGGCAGAGGTGCTTGCTGCTCTCGCCCTTGTGCAGAACGCCAAGAGGGAAGCTTGTATAGACATGGCAAGCCTGGGTGTGGGGATGACAAAAGCATACCGAGGACTCGCGCTGTGTACAGGCTGTTCTTCAGCAATCCTCAAGGTTGTGACCGTCTTGTGGCTTTCGCCGCCTGCTCACAACTGATGATGGTAAGCTATCCCATTCTCTCCATCGCCCTAAACAAAGGCGATTGTAAGCCGACATGGATTGCAGCCTGGCTACCGAGTTCATTAACTGTACAGTTTGCGGTAGGCTGCTTCATCTAGCGGCCAAAGAGCTGGGAAACTGACTGCGGCTGAGCACGAGGTGCTAAGCCAAAATCCACAGCATCAAACCTTCCACTCCCCGGGTAGTGAATGGTGGAAACAACCACCCCGGCGCCGTGCCCGTCCCTTAAACCACGTCCCAAAGCCGGATAGTTTTGGCCTCCGAACCCGACGCGATCGTTTTACCGTCGGGCGAAAATGCGACGGCGTTAATAGCCATACGTTGTCTTCGGGTTTTCAGAAATGCGACGGCGTTAAAAAGCACACCGCGTCTTTGGAGTTCTTGCAGCGGGGCACCGCTATTCACGTCCCAAAGCCGGATAGTTGCATCACCCGATCCGGACACGAGGATCCTGCCGTTTAGCGAAAAAGCAACGGCAGAAACCTGCTTCTCGTGTTGGAATGTTTGCCGGAGGGCACCGCTCGTTATATCCCAAAGTCGGGCCGTTCTGTCCATCCCTGCTGATGCGAGCGTTTTGCCGTCCGGCGAAAAGGCAACGCCAAGGACGTCATTCTTGTGCTCCCGCAGGGTTTGCCGGAGGGCACCGGTGGCCGTATCCCAAAGCCTGGCCGTTTCGTCGCACGACGCCGACGCGAGCGTCTTGCCGTCCGGCGAGAAGGCGACGCTCATAACTGGGCCATCGTGTTGCCAGAGTATCTGCCGGGGGGCGCCGCTGGCCGTATCCCAAAGCCGGATCGTTCTGTCCATCCCTGCTGATGCGAGCGTTTTGCCGTCCGGCGAAAAGGCAACGCCATGGACGTAATTCTTGTGCTCCCGCAGGGTTTGCCGGAGGGCGCCAGTGGCCGTATCCCAAAGCCTGGCCGTTCCATCTCTCGACGCCGACGCGAGCGTCTTGCCGTCCGGCGAGAAGGCGACGCCCACAACCGCGTCATCGTGTTGCCGGAGTATCTGCCCGGGGGCGCCGGTAGCCGTATCCCAAAGCCGGACCGTTTTGTCTTCCGACGCCGACACGAGCGTCTTGCTGTCGGGCGAAAAGGCGAGGTCGCAAATGGGCTCGGCGTGGCCTTGAAGGGTTTGCCGGAAGGTGCACATGGCCGCGCCCTTTTCGAGCAGCAGCTGTAGGACAGCGCCGTGGCCCTCGCCGGCGGCCCATCCCAGCGCCGTCCGGCCATCGCTGTCTTTCGAATCTATATCCACCCCGCTAGTGGAGAGGAGTAGTTGGACCACATCGACATGTCCCCTACTTGAAGCCGCAATCAACGGCGTCCATCCGTTTTTGTCCGCGGCCGCCGCGTCGGCACCGCCGTCGAGAAGCACCTTGACCATGTCGGCGTAGCCACTTTCGGCAGCCCACTGAAGCGGCGTCTGGACACCCGTCCCGTCGCCGTCAGTATGCCAGAGGTCGTTCCACCGTTTTTGCACCTCTGCCTGTCTCGTAATCAGACGTCGTATCTTGGCACTTCCTTCACACAGTGTTTGTGCAAGCTCCAGCTCCAGATCCCATTTTTGCAGCTCCGCAGTTGCATCGATGGTAACGTCTGGTGGATGAGGCATTGCTTCTAGCCTGACGCGAAACGTTGGCTGGTGTGCACCATGCTCCAATGTCACCCGCAAATTGAGCGGTCCGTTGCTGGCACTTGCTTTGCCAGATACTTTGTGCGCCATGTGGTGGAGCTTCCCGGCCAGCTCTTCCAGTGGCGTCTTTCTGGAGCATATCGTTACCCAGCTCCGAGCCATCGTGCGTGTGCCCCGTTGTTCAAACTCGAGCACTATCACGAAATCACAGGTCAATTCATCACTGTGACGGAATCGAGCTAATGTTCGATGCATAGCACCATCGGATTCGACCGCAGGCGTGATCTGGGTTCCCTCTTTATCCCAACAAGATTGGGGCACCACGTCAATCAAGCTCAGGTTGACTAGGGAAAATTTCCCGTTATTGTAGAGCCAGACCTGTCGGTTCGCGTCCGCGGGCGGCTTGGCTTGGCTGTCGTTCTTGATGTTGATGAGCATTGACAAAGCCCCGGATGCAGTTTTCGGTCGCAACACTACAGGGCGTTCCTGTGGTCGAACGTACAGGCCGGATCCCGGCGTTGTCTCGGCTAGAGGGATTCCAACGACTTGTTGATCGACTTGTTGATCGACTTGTTGATCGGCGTGCTGGGGACCGCAATTTAGCAGCCCGATCGCGTTGCCAGCCGACACAATGTGCAACGGGAGGTGGATTCGAAGGTAGCCGCCAGAAAACTCGAGGGAGTGCTTCGAGGGGGCAGATAACTCGTAGGAAACAATATGGCCCGAGTTTGCAAATTCCTCTGGACCGGCCGCCAAAATCCTCCCGGATGTGACCTGGCCGGAATCACTGGTGGGTGCTTCTTGGGCGCTGAGGCCCCATGCTAGGATGGAATCGTCTCTCGTCTTCTCCATCATGATATGGCGCTGTAGCCGGAAGAAGGCCTGGTCGCCGCCCTCGCCGTAGAGCATTGGCATCGTTACGCCGAAAATTCCCAGGAGACAATATGCGAGATCCTCCTTCTTTTTCGTTTCTCTTCGCGCAGCCCACGACATACGCTGCGCAACACTCGCCCCGTGCAGTTCGGTGATGCCCTGCAGTAACTCATCGGGTATGCCAGTGATCTCCTGGATAATGTCCCGTAGGCCTTTCTTGCTCCCTAGCATATGCCAATCCGAATTGTAGAAGCGCAAGTCGCTGGGTGCAAGGAGCTCTTGCAAGGTCCATCCTCGACCGAACCACCGGCTCTCCCGGAATTTCGATCCGGGCTCCTGGGGAGAGTCGCCGCCAGGGACGTCGGCTAAATAGACATAGCAAACGAAAGCGCGCTCGTACCATCGGAACATGGAGTTGATGGCCTCGCTGAGCTCCACATGGTTGGTTTTGTCGATGCAGCAAGTGTCAATCCAAGCGTATTCGATGCCGTCACTTTCGGCTTGTTGACAGCATCCGTGAAGCTTGCTCCACCCGACGCAGTCCTTGTTGACGTTTCCGTCTTTGACATTGCGGAAAGTGAGCTCCTCGTTGTCGGGCCCCCAAGTATGCGACAGGATGGCGTATGAAGGAATTTGGTCGCCGGGGAACTCCTTCAGTTCCAGTGTTTTGACGTTGATTAGCCACATTGCGAGGCTTTGTAGACGATCTAGGATACGGAGAGGATCGAGCGGAGAGCCGGGAGGACGTTGGTGGCAACTTTTCGGAGGAGCGGAGGAGCGGAAATGAGTCGACGGCCACGATCGTAAGGGGCGTGCTGTGCTCGACGCGGATTGCGGGATTGCGATCAACTGGTATGCTAACACCACCCTGTGCGGTATACTCGGCTGTATAGCTTCGTAGACGGAGTATGGGGCAGCGAAAATGAGCGCTCGAGATATTGAGATGCGGGTCAGTTTGAAGCGCTGGATTGTCGAGGGGTAATGAAGGAGATCTCCGTTGACCCCGCATAGCGCGGCCTTACCAGCCGGAAGGCCCAACCGTACCCAACGCTGGAGGATATGAGAGAAAGAGCGGATGTACCAGGCAGCCGGACAACCGTGGGGGTGGGGCTGTGGGATGCCGAAGCCGGGGAGGTCATTGGAAGCTGACGATTGTGTGTCGGAACTTTCTTGAGGCTACCTGGTTGGCTGCTAAGAGATAACCCCTCGATCAGTCCATGTCTATCCACTCAGGCGATGCCACCGCTGCCCAAGCTTGAATACATCACCAACACTCGACAAAAACCGACAGATAGGATGCTCGGGTCCCTCACCCTTTTCCCACATCTATCGGCTTAGAACAGGTACTCGCCTTTTGGACCTTCTGGATAGTCTATGATGCAGGCTAGAGAGAGAAAGTAGCCCCCTTCACGTGTAGAAAAGGCGCCGTCTTCCCCTTCCTTTTGCATGGCACACTACTGCGGCGTGTCGAACGCCAGACTAGCCCTAGCGGAGCCCTTGGCGGAGGAAAGTATGGAATCGTCGTATAGTGTCCTCGTGACCCAAACCCCACCCCCTCCTCCCGGAACGACTGTGATGGCGGGATTGAAGACACGCTTTGTGCGGCTTTGACTTTCCGAGTCCTGATGCTGTGGTGGCTAGGCAGACTAGGAGGGCGTTCGTAGGGGCGGCGCGGACACCACCAAGACTCGACTCGCTGACTTGAGGCCACAGGGACGTGGTAGCGGGTGTTACGGGATGTGGGCAAGAGACCGGCCATGTTCGAAACCACTCTCGAGCAGCTGATGGGCAGGCAGCATACGCGCGAGCTGGGAATTCGCGGCCAGAAAAGACGGTCGATCGAGAAGTGTGCTTTGACCAGCACACGGCGCGGGAAGCTTGACAGAGTCCGATCGTGGGCTCTGAGAAAGACTCGGAGTCAGTTCCAAAGGCCGGGAGAAGGATCTACCTGTGCCGTGGAAGCAGCAACTGTAGGTAGTCCGGCAGGCGGTCGCCAGGGGACGCCGAGACATTGGCCACTCAGCGTAGTAACCTGCCCCGACTCTCTTGGGCGGGGCATGACGCTCCCAGACATGCCGGTATCAGATTTTGCCTGCTAGTGTTTGGCATCTCTGGGAGAGATGCAATGCTGTGGTCGGGTTTAGCTCGGCACCTCCCTAGGTACCGCTGGGTAAGTTCCCGCAGTCTCCCCGTCTGGACATCACAGCATATGCAAGTATACGATGGACACAGCCCCCGGCGCCAGCTGCCAGTTGGCATGTTTCTGGAATTGTCACTCCAACCCCATCCGCATGCTTTGGGGGTGTAATCTGGAACTGAACGGGAGACCCCTGTGCAGACGAGAGAGGGTGGTTTCCCCGGAACGTCCCGCCAGTAGACGGTTACTCCAGGAGGGTCGGAACGACATGTAGCCTAGGAGCCTGCCATCAGGGACCAGGCACTTCCCCAAAGACCCTGGTAAGCTTTACGTGTCGGAGAAACGTGGTCGGGGACCGTGTTCCGTGGCGGCGGCGAATTCCCCAAGCCCGGGAACCCGCGTGCTGGCGAAAGTACCAAGAGGAATAGAGAATTCCAGGGAATTTCCCAAAGGGGAAAGACACTTGGGGCAGGTTTTCTGTCACAGAATTGCCTTGACATGGAACGAAGTGGACATAAACTGACAAACATTAAAATTAGGTTTACACACAGAATCCCCCGCTGCCATCCACGCGTAATGAATTGACGATCTAGACACTGGCACTAACTCCGGTCAAAAAACATAAACTTTGATCATGGTCGAAAGCATCATAAACGAATCCAGGGGCGACGACAGGGCCCTCCGCTGACCCGACTCGCTCCAGGACTAGGGAGAGAGCTGGCCGCTGAGGGCAAAGAAGAACAGCTCAAGCGAGCCCCAGCCTCTCCTGCTCTGTCTTTTGGCGCATGGCGTAGATGACGACGCGGTCCTTGATCCAGGCGGGTAGCATCCCCGCGGCGGCGTCCTGGACGGCGTGCCAAAAGTAGGGGACCACGACGGCCCTGCCGCAGCCCACACGCGCCAGGATGCAGCGCGCCACCCGCCCGGCGTCGGGCACGAACAGCGAGGGCCGGCGGCCCGCGTGCGCGGTGCCGGTCGAGTCGCCGACGCGGACGCACACGACCTCGACGGCGCCGCGGGCGCCGCCCTCGAAGGCGGCGTCGAGCGCCAGGCAGCTCGACATGCAGGCGAGGAAGGCCTTGGAGGGCGCGTACGACGGTAGGCGCGGCATGGCCTGGTCCGACATGCTGCCGACGTTGACGACCAGCGACGGCGACGCGGCCGTCAGGCGCGACATGAGGCGCGACGTCAGCAAGAGCGGGAACAGGGCGTTGGCCGACACGTTCTCGGTCAGGGCCCGGGCGCTGTAGGCCTCGATGCCGCAAAAGGGGCCCGGGTCGTACAGGGCGCCGCCGGCGTTGTTGATAACCACCGTCAGGTGCAGGTCCGCCAGCTGGGCGAGGATGGCGTCAAGGTCGACGGCGGCCGGCGCTGAAGCGGGTGTTGCTCGAGCAAGCCCCTGGCTGCTGTCGGTAGGTTCCCCGTCGCCGGCACCACCGATGCCTATCTCCTTGCTGTCTGCCGACGGCTCATGGGCCCTGGCCGAGGCAGCAACCGGGACCGGCTTGGAGCAGCCGGAGCACGGTACGCGGCTGACGTCGGCGACGATGACGCGGAACTTGCGGGACGGGAAGCGGTCCGCGAGGGCCTCCTCGACCTTGGCCAGCTTCTCCGGGTTCCGGCCGTGCAGGACGACGTTGAAGCCAAAGTCGGCAAGCTCCGCGGCCAGGTGCTTGCCGATGCCGTCGGAGGCGCCCGTTACCAGGGCCCAGGGCGGCCGCGGCTGCTGCTGGCCGCCGCCGCCGCCGCTACCCGAGTCCGAAACCGGGCCGCCGCCGCCGTGGTGCAAGTAGCGTGACAGGCGCGAGGGGCGCGCATAGGCCAAGCCGAACGAGGCCACCCGGCAAACCCAGTAAAGGGCCGTAAGCAGGCCGATGGCGGCGAATGGTAGTGTTGGGCCCAGTATGGCCCCCAGATCGGCGCCGGCTGCTCCGTCTGCCATGTTTTGACGGGGCTCTGATGGGAATCAGGGGCGCGGCCGAGCGGTCGGTTTCCTGTTGGTTTTGCAACAGTGCGCGAAAAAAAAAAGGGGCGGACCTTACGATCTGTTGACGACTCAGAAAAGGGGTCGCGAAGGGTGGAAAAGGGTTTTCCATGGGGTTTCTGTTCGTATTTTCGGTCTCTCCTTCTCGGGTCTGCTTGACAAGCCTGCAACTCGGTTGAAACAACTCGGTTGAAACAGAGAGTGAATGACGCAGGAAGCGCAGTTTGAGGCATGCAAGTATTCAGGATATTTTAGGATTCTATGGCAGTGCCCTGGCTAGCAGCTCGCTAACCGTGCTTTCGCCTATCTGCTGCTGCTCCTGCAGCTGGTTGGGTTGTTGGTTTCCATCGTAGTCACATGAGGGGAAAAAAGCAGAGAAAAAGGCTGAGGAGAAGCAAAAGCAGCCCAAGCAGATCCAAAACCATGCGCGCGTGTGCTCGGCAATACGACGCGGTCCAAACACCCACCGCTCCTTGGCCAGCCCCTCTCTTCGATCGCCGTCTCGATGGGATGTCAGTCAACGTTACTGAGCAAGGTAGTGTGGTAGGTGGAGAACTGAGGTAGCGAGGCGAGCTCGCCCGAGTCATCCGAAGGGGCGAAGAAGCATCATTTTACAAGACACATGGAACCGAGCCCTGATTCCCCGCATCTGGCTGGGAACACCCTTCTTCTGGTAGCTCCGGTTTTGTTTCGAGCCTCGCTGGGTGGTTGGTTGGCCGGGTGGGAGGTGAGAAGGTGAAGGCCGTAAGGGAGGAGAACTGGCGAGCGCAGAGATTTTGTCTCTGGCACGTCCAGCCCGCGATTGAGCAACGGTGGGCGGAGGAGTTACCCAAAGGGGACGAATCGGCAAGCCCGTTGGTTATGCTAGTGCGACGGCACACGACGACGGAGATGGCGAAGGAACCCATCCCCATCAGGACATTGGGGGTTGCGTTGCGGTGAAGAGAATGATATGGAAGGGAAGCTGCACGGGTGACCAGCAGGTCGCTGCACGCGCTAGCAGCATCGAGGTCATGTCAGGAAGTTGAGAATGGAATGCAATTCGATGCGGCGAGTCGGGGGCGGCCAGGAAGGCAGACAGGCAGGCGTAACGGGGGGGCAAACGCAAGGGAAGGACGAAGGTGACGGCACAGGCCCCGTCGGGTAGCGGTAACGGCCCCCAGTGGGGTGCCGCCTTTAGGTTAGTTGGAAGGCACGCGCACGGGTGCCTGCCTGTCTTCTTGCGAGCACACAAGCAGAGGCAGGGGTGCTCGGCAAATTCAGCGTGCGCCGCACATGGAGAGTGGACCCGAGGTGGCCCCGTAGGTACAGGTCCCAGGGATCACAAACCTTAGTACGGTGGATCCTGGTGGTACATCAATTTGGCTTGGTTTTTTTAAGGAACAAAATGTATTTTGCATCCACCGCACTAGGGTTTGTGATCCTTGGGACCTGTACAGAGGCGGCCCACGGTGCTGGGTTGCATTGCTCCAATCTCAGGTCTGCAGTCTGATTCGGCAAGCAGTGGAGCTGCCAGCGATGGCCGTGTGCGGTTAGCCAGCCGCGGGTCTAAATCGCTGCACGGCCTGTGTCACGGATATGGGCTTGACGTCGTGCCTCGAATGACATGCACAGGACACACCACCCACCTTGCTGCGAGCCCTGAGTAGAGGCAGGTCCATGGGAAGTACCTGCCACGAGCTAGCTGCTAAGCTAACAGAGAGGTTGGCGCGCTAGCACTACTCAGACTAGACTTGCGATTGCCTGCCCCACGGGTGTGCTCTTGTGGAGCCCACGTGCCAGAGAACCGATGAGAAATAAACCGCTGGAAGCACGCCTCGCCTCACCTTGCCCCCACCTTGCCA